ACAATAATTGAACACATCATTTCTGTTTATTGCAAAAAAAACTGCAGATGCATTAATAGGAGGTATTTGGTTTAAAGTTGTTTATTGTTTGCATTGGGTACTGTTAATACTGGTCTCCCTTTAAATGTGAGGTAATGGAAGCCTTCAGGGACACTATAAGACTACAGAGTAGAGACTGTACTGCCTCAGATCCATACTGCTAGTTGGGAAGACACACAAACAACATAAAAAACAGCTCAAACAATCCAAGATGTTCCAACAATAGAATTCATAGACCACACAGTAGAAGAAATCTCAAAGAACTTTAGAAGAAACATGATTAGGCTGATCTTCAAAATAAAGGATGGTATCTCACCAGGGACCCATGCTGACAGATGAACCGAATTCAAAAGAGCTGACTGCAATATTAAGCTTTAAAAATGGTGAAAAAGCCCAGCACACAGAAGTAATTTTTTCATATCAAGGGTGAGGCTGCTCTGCAACATGAAAGGTCAGCTTCCACTCTGGAAATAGCTCTAGAAAAGACAGCATGCACCCAGAATCTCTGTATTTTTATAGGGGGACACACAAAGGAGTTTCCATAGAAAATTCTTCACCAAATAAGGTAGTGTTGGTTCATCATGGCTGAATGGACCACTGGGAGGTGGGGCCTAGTTGGAGGAAGCAGGTCACTAGGGTGTGCCCTGAAAGGTTTGTCTTCTCCCCCATCCCTTTTCCCGTCTTCCTCCTTCCTGACATAAACAACAGAGGGGGGAAGCCCACCATCCCCTTTAAGTCTTGCACACCAACCCAATAATTGCCCTTGCCCAAATCATCTCAGGACCAGGAATCAGGTAACCAAATAGTCGACCACAATAGCCCACAGCCCACTGGACTCATTCGGACGGGCCAGCCTCAGTGGCCTGCTCTGCTCTGCCCTCCCTTTCCCATGGAAACAGTAAGGTTCTGGGCCAGGCTTTCTCCCTGCTCCTCCTTCTGCCTCCTGGTCAAAATCGGGTGTTTCTCCTGAAGCATCTAGGGTGTTGAGTTCATTGTCTTCAATCAGCAACAAACTGAACAGGACACAGAGATAGCAAGCAGGTTTATTGCAAAAGTGCCAGTAACAGACTTCTCCAAAGACAAGGGTTCCCAGAGCTGGAAGTCTGATGGGAAAGTTTGGGCTTCTTATTTCCGTGGTGTTTGGACTTTCCTCCTTTTCGTGTCTCCTCCCCTCTCTCCACACTCCCCACTATTGTTCATTGGTATTAACGTGTCTATTTCAGCTTTTCTATTGGATCCCCTGCTTAGGAGCTCGAGTACAGAAATGTCTGATTGGTCCCGGCTTGCGTCCACAGACACTTTGTCAGCCAGGAAGGTGACATCATTGGAAGACCCTCTCCATGCTCCTTCAATCTAGACCTGTCCCTGACTTCCTCGCTTGCCATCTTGCCCTGGCTGCCTATATCCTTCTCCATCTCCCTCTCTCCTGTGGCCCTGCCTGACATGCTATTCCTCTTATTTCTAGTAGTTTTTGTTTCATTGGCATTGACCTCTAGATGTCTAGTTATCTTTATAAATTCAGGCCCAGCCATAACCCAGCCTCCCTTGGCTGTGTAATAGTGATAGCGGTGTGTGGGAATTGCTCTGAATGACCACATGCCTCCCAGTCCTGAGCAGGAGGCTCTGACCAATCACGACATTTTATGGTGACTTGGGCATTATCCCAGCTGGGATAGAGACGGGTCTTCAGGTGTAGGTGTTACCTGCGAGGTTTGAGTTACACTCACCTATCCCTTGTAACCCTGCTCCTTCTGGCCTTTTGGGATAGAAATTTCTAAGAACAAGGGTCCCCTCTGTTGGGTGCAGAGCAGGCTGAACTGTGTTGTCTGCAGGGCAGGCTGAGCAG